AGAGGAATATTGTTCAGTAATCTTCTGTTGATATCTGAGATTCATTTGTCGAAATAGTAGTCTCCCGGTGAAATTGTGCAAAAGGTGTTACTCATGTACCTAAGGAAACAATGGTAGGACCTATGCCTACATTAAGCCAGCACACATTTTTGGGTATTCAGTTTAAAAAGAGCATTTTTCTGAAGAAGTACACATAGTGAATCAGAATGTTAGCTTGCTTTAAAACATGACCACACTTTGATCTTTCTCACAGGGCGTCAAAACATTTACTAATAACTGAAATTTAAGAAAATACTTAAAGTTCGAAACGGCTATCATCAATTATCAAGCCTGTGAATAGCGTGTATTTCACAAGTCTTCATCTACACGTTCTCTTATATGAAGTGAGGCAGTTCATAGTCACTGATTTACGATAACGGCTGAACTACTGCTGTTAGCTTTCAATGATAGAAGTTGATGCTATTGGTTGGTCAGGATTGAAGGATCCCTTGTCCGCATTTATGACTGATGTTCATAAACTTATTAGAACTTAAGTTTTTCCGAGAGCTCAAACAGGTGTGAAATATTTATATTTGCTGTTGAGTGTTTCGGGTTTTAACGGCAGAATTTTAAGTTAACATTTTTCTAAATAATTGTAATCTATTTTTGCCGATAAGTTCTAATTTTTAGACAAATTCTTCCTATGACTATTGATTCCGTGGCTCTCTCCCTGTATCTGAGCCCCAGTTCGGCACAGCAAACGCACTTGTCAAAGAACTGTACATTTTGAATGTCTTACGTTTGCCTCCAACAAAATGTACGCCTGCCAACGAAATATTTTAAGCTCTTCATTAGCTTTGCGAAACTTCGATCTTGTTTATCCATCATATTCTGCGCGAGTTTACTCAACCGGTAAATTTTATCAAATGCATTATGCAACTCAAATTTTACTGACCATAGTGGTAAAAAAGAATTTTTTTCTGAAGCTTTTTCTTTGTCACAAGATTTCCTTATTCCTTTCTAAAGACACAGGCGTAAACAGAATGAGGTCCCGACAGAGAAATCGACAAAACATCTGCTTTGTAACGTGGAGCCTTCTAATAAAAGAAATGCATTTTTTCCGGTTTGTCATAATTGCAGGCTCTTTCATTTTCAGTTTCTGGGAATATCGAATTGAGGCAATGACAAACTTGTCCTTGTAGTTTTTTCGCTTTTATACTACATTTATCTCATGGCTAAAACAGAAACTGAGTGAATGATTCAAAAATTCGAGAGAGGTGTTTTACATGACAAAACAAAAAGAAATGACAACTATTTTTCCTCAATGGCACTCTCTATTCATATTTCATATGAATAGAGAGTGCCATTTCGTTGTGTCGTTTCGTTGTTGCGCGGCGCATTCACAAAATAACCTTATAAATGGAAATATTGGTGAAAGTTCTGTGCTGCCGTTTTTGATGTCAATGTGAGTTTGGAGCAATTGAACTAAACTCGTCATATGGAATCACTGCTGTGCTCTTTTGCATTTCTCAATTTTACTTGCCGTAAAACGGCTAAATTAAGAATGCAGTTAGGCGTAAGAATTGACAAATTATAACCGTTCGTCGTAGAAGAAGTTAACCGTAAAATGCTTCTCTTTTAATCGCAACTGCGAGAAATTAGCTGCTAGCAGCAAAATGGCCAAACTTTTAACCGTTAACCGCAAAAGCCATCACCCAATTGAGAGCCTCATCTTCCAGAACAGTTCATTTTTCTGTTTGAGGACGTGGTCAAAGTCGATTAAGAAAAACGTTACGCAACAGTACAGGTAATGTCATCAGAGGGAAGCATTTCATTCATGTCGATGTCAATAACACTGTTTCCCTTCTATTATCTCGCTGTAACTCATTAGCAAATGTTAAGCACGAATAACGCCACCGCAAGGCAAGACTTAGTTCTGAAATTTTCCGGGATGAAACCTTTGCGTGTTTTTTTGCGTCTACTTCCCTTCCAAGTATGTTTTGTTTGCTTTTTGTCAAGCTTTTTAGTATTTTGGTTTTTCTTGAATTTTTTAGTCAGCCTCCGCCTCGCTACTCGGTACATGAAACTGTATGCAATATTCTTCTAGCAGTTCTAGCAGAAAATTCAGTGCTGTATTCGTAAATTCCCTCCATAAGGCAACACTACAAATCTTTTATTATACGACCCGTACGGCCCCGCGCGCGCAATCCCATAGAAAACCGCAATGAAAGTTGACGTGTGAAAGTTCGCACTTGGGCCGGTTCACACGGCTTTGTTACACAATGTTGCGTTTTTCGATGAATCGTGAGTTCCTTATACTGACTCGAAAAAGCAAAGCAAAGGTTTCCATTGTTTTTAATTACATTACATTATTCTTGGTTATGACGCACGGACGTGTGTGTGTGTGTGTTGACTTTGAGCCAACTGTTTTTCCCGTTCGGCCCTCCCACTCAATCAGTGAGTACTTACTATTTGCATGAAAATAAGCCCTCTTGGCCTGGCATTTGAATGAAAGTTACACTGTTTTTCACTGGTTGAAGAGGCCATTTTGTCTACTTTAAGTGGATAAGTTTGGTGAGATGTCTCCTCTCGACTCGCATTTCTTTATGAGTTAGTCGTGTATTTCAATGTCATTTGCTTTCGGCTACGTACATTTGACCCATTTTTCAACATATATACTGCTCCTAATCTTATATATGTGTTTTCAATTAAGCATTTGGTGTCGGCCAAAAGAGAGCTTTTCGCAGTTTGAATCTCCTAAAACAAAACCCAAAGAGGTCGTTGATTTTCCAACCAGAACAGAATAAATATCGACAGGGAGCAATGAGAACTCAGTCAAGAAAACGCAAGGCTACCAGAAATGGGGGAAAACACGAGTAACCAAATTTTTATTGAAGTAAGCTTCGCATCTCATTGATGAAGAGAGGAAAAAGGGAGTTTATTTTTTAATTTTATCTTGAGACTAACAGTAAAATCTGAGTAAAACAGAATTGAAGCAATCTCGGCAGAGCTATGATTTATCAATTCTATTCAGTGATTTAGTTGAAATTTCTAATGAAAAGACCGAGGAGAACCCACGGGAAAAAATTTGCATTGATATAAGCTTTGGTATAAGCTTTGATAAGCCTTAATAAGCTTTGATAAACTTTGATATAAGCTTTGCATCTTGTTGATGAAGAGGATAATGTGAGTATTTCTTTGTTTGTTTGATTTTTTAAATTTTTTTTTTTTGGAGACCAACAATAAAATTGGAGTAAAACAAAACCTGAGTAATTCTGGATTATTTTCGATACTCAATATGAAACTACCCTGTTATAAAAACTCATTCATCATTAGATCGTCAGATTTCTAAATTGCTGTGTTATTTCTTTTATCGTTCTTTTTCAGGACAAAAGTCCAGTCATGGATCATGTGACGCTAAAGGTAAGTTCAATCCAACACAAATAATAATTATAGTGATAATAATGATCATGATAATAATGAAAATAATAATAATATTATTATAATAATAATCTAAGTTTAATATCTAATTTTTTTTTTTTTTTTTTTTTTTTTTTTGGAGAACGACAGTAAAATTGGAGCAAAACAAAACCTAAGTAATCCTGGATTATTTTCGATACTCACTATGAAACTACCCTGTTATAAAATCTCATTCATCATTGGATTGTCAGATTTGTAAATTGCTGTGTTATTTCTTTTACCACTTTTTTTCAGGACAAAGGTCCTGTCGTGGATCATGTGACGCTAAAGGTATGTTCAAGCCAACACAAATAATAATTATAATGATACTACTAATAATAATAAAAATAATGATGATGATGATGATGATGATGATGATGATGATGATGATGATGATGATGATAATAATAATAATAAAACTTTCATATCTGAACACAAAGAACTTCTAGGCATTGCTGTACGATCCTTTTGTGTGGAAAAATGATTTTTAAAAGAAATCTGATCTCAAGCTCATCCACGCCTTCAAAGAGCAGAATAAACCCGTCCAATGCCTGAGGAAAAAAAATCAGGCTTCGAGGTGATTCGAACCCAGGCCCTCCAGATACCAGTTTGGCGCTATCTACAACTGAGTTACGAAGCCATGTGTTATCTGATGAAGGCAAACCATTTCAAGAACCTTATTTTTTTCATTTACATCACATAAAATCCGTTGTGAACTTTACGTCTAAATAATGTCTCACTCCTGTTTTATTTTGGTAAATAACTTAGTCGCGATTTTATGAACTTTTCATCGACCTCACGTTCGCCATAAAGGAAATATGATAGGACCAAGAGAAAGCGCGCGCTACCAGTCAATAGTGTGGTTCGTACGTCGGTGATGTTCAGCAATGTGATTTTTGACATCGCCTTTCTTCGTCGTTCGTTTGTGTTCAGTCAGTCTAGTTGCGAGGTTTCTGCCAGTCTCACCGATGTAGGAGGCGTGGCAGTCGGAGCAATTGATCTTATATACTGCTCCTTGTCTGTTCCTCGGTTCGTCTCTGTCTTTGATATTAGTCAGTAACTGACGCAGTGTGGGACTCTGGGACTCTGCGCAATGCCTAACCTACAGCGCCAACTACTTTCAACGACTGACCCTGGAAAGCTGGTTTACTAACTTGGAACAGACTCCCCTCAACAGGTGTCAACCACTACCGACACCATACAAACGACTCATCCACGACATTAACATTACAAACGAACCGAACAGAACGACCTAACTTCTCTAACGGATCCAAACCGACCAATCACAACTGACCTACGCCACTTGAGTCTTAAAGCCAATAACATCACGGCAAAACTGACCAATCAGTGTACACAAACCGGACTAAGTACATTCGACTGACAACAACCTTTCACTTGACTCTGATGATGACTTCCGCTCAGGTTGTCGAAACGTCAGTCACCACTACCAACAACAGTCCTTCTCAGGACTACACTCACCCGTACGATCAAACGACACTATTACAATTTAAGTATTCTAGGTCACACCCAGTTGTATCTTTATATTAAATTAAGCGAGTTGAATGACATTTGATGTCATTTCAGATCCCGATCCGTGTAATAGGTGCAACTACAAAATATTGAACAGCCCTGATCGAGCTGAAGGATTTATCACCTATGACCAGCCTAAATGTGACCTAATGTCATGGGACAGAGTGAAATATGACACTTGGTATCGATTCAATGGGTCGGCGGGCACAGCCATGCCAACTCATTGCGTTGAGACGATGCGATGCGGTGCCGAGGCCCCAGGTTGGTTGTACGGTGGTCATCCCAAAGCGGCTGAGGGAATTTCTACCAGGTCAGTCTGCTTCAACTGGTTAGGGAAATGCTGCTATTACAAAAACGAGATCAAGGTCAAGAACTGCCGTGGATTTTTTGTGTACAAGTTCGGAGATCCTCCCATGAATTTTCTACGGTATTGCGGGAATGGATCCAGAAATGGAACTGGTGAGTTTAAAACAATAATTACTCGTGAAGATAATCCTTTTTAGATGGTGGCTAGGAAAGTAAAACCAATGACAATTTTTTTTATTTCCGTTATTATTTGAAGAAAAGCCACTCTACATTCCTGTTTTGCAGTGTAGTGTAAAAGAGCGTCTTGATGGACTCATATTCGCGCAGTCATAGAGAAGAAACCTGTGTACGCAAGAGCAAAGATTACTATTCAATGATATTTGTGTGATAGAGGACTCTTTTTGTAGGGCGGTAAGAGCTTCAAATGTCCGCGCCTATTTTTGCGCCAAAAGGATGATTCCGTTTATTGAACTGGCCACGACACTGCCTCATTCTTCATCGGAGTATCAGTTTTTTAAACTGTTGTGAATTTTCTTCTGTCACTTTTTAGGACAAGTGTCGCGTTATGAAGTATGCAAGCGTGAAGCTAAAAAGGAGAGAGGTAAGTTCACCAGGGTAAAAAAAAAAGACGTTACTCGAGCTCAGTGCCCCACCCGGCCGAACTTTATCCTGGTTTCCATGTAGCATTAAGCGACTGGGAGCATAACTACTCCTCACCAGGCTTCCCTGACAGTTCACCAGTACCCATTTATGCTCCTGGTTGGAGAGAAGCGCTGTGAGAGTAAAGTGTCTTGTCAAAGAACACAACACATTGACCCGGCTGGGTCTCGCACCCAGACCTCTTGACCGGGAGTCCAGCGCATCAACCATTACGCCACTAGGTATCCCGAATTCACAAAAAATAGCTTTAACCCTTTAATCACTGAGAGTGACTAGCATCTAATTTCTCCTTACAATATCTAACCCTTAATCCCACATTAAGGTCATGAGAATAAAGGAAATGATCACCAACTAAAGCAGCTCTTGGTTTTTAAACAAATTCTCCTTGTCACCAGTATGGAGAAAATACATACTGATGTTAGGGTGGAATGGGTTAACATAAGCAAAGAATTGCGAGTTGAAGAGTACAAACAGAGCTAGTTTGTGGAACTTTCTTTTACATGATCTACGGATGGCCCCACTGCAAGTTCGCCCCTACCTCGACGATTTCGCCGCAAATATTCTCTTACTTTTGAATTTGGGCAATATGATTTAGTTTATAACAGAAGATGCCTCCACCTTCACATATACCTGTGATTTACAAATCAAAAGTTTTTTTTAAGAATATCCGATGAGAGTCTTATGCAAAAATTTGTGATTTCTTTATGTGGATTGTTTTTTTGATAAGCTAAACTAAGTTTCAATTTATAATGCTTTTCAACATCATATCATGCGAGGTACAATGTTGTTACTGTATTATTGAAATGCAGTTTACGCCATCTTTGGTCATAATGTGGACCTCAACATACAAATGTTCCACAGGTCATGTTCCTGATAGCAGAATTTCTATATATTTTGCTATATGGTTCTTTTAAGGCTGGGGGGGCGGGGGGGAGGGGGGGGAAAAGGGAGGAGGAACGGAGGATTTTGAGGGATGACGTGGTTTTAAGAGGGAATAGCCGAGGGATCGGTCGTCTTAACAGAGTTTAAAGGGGGGAGGAAGAAACTATATGAAATTGACTGCCATTAAGAGAGGATCTTAGAATACTACAGAGTCTTAAGGGGGGGATCACGTAAATTTGCGACACAACCAAAATCCCGCTCCCCCCCCCACCCACCCAAATACTCAGGTGATGAATCATGACTGTCTTCTCAGTGATAATGATTGATCATCACTTAAAACAAGATCCCTGAGCCTCGCAGTTCGCATGTTGTTGAAAGGTTCAATGAACGAGTAGATTGCAATGGTATTTTTTATCTCTCCTGAAGAGAATCCATGTTTGTCTGGTGACTACATTACCCTCAGGGGGCCGAGCCGCGCTCAAGGGTTTAACAGGTCCAGACGAGCTAAATGTGACATGGACATTCTGAATGTACCAGAGGCTTGGTATCGCTTTGCTGGCAAAGCAGGCACCATGATGGCTGATAAATGTGTTCCCGTCAAGCATTGCGGGACGAACGCTCCCGGCTGGTTGCGGGGTCCTCATCCAGAAGACCCATCTGAAGGAGAAGTTGCCAGAACAGTTTGCTTTCACTGGAAAAACAACTGCTGCTTTTGGAAGACTCGAGTGAAAGTGCGCAACTGTGGAACATTTTTCATTTATTACCTGAAACAAGACCCGATGGTAGGCTGCAGCTTTCGTTATTGTGGCAATGGCGAGGGTGAGTAAACACATATTATCATTCTGAAAGATGCCACCCAAATTTCTTGATAAGTAAGTCTTTTTTTGCCTCAGTGGGAGGCCGTCGCCGGCAAAAATTCCTGCGAATTTTTCCACATTAGCGTTATAGGATAGGTATCACATTAACGTCAAATGATGGACATGCATGTGACAAGTTTGCGGGGACGATTAGAAGCAAATATTCTAATATGATCATGTCCTTTTTTTTACAGGACCCACTCCTGGCCCAGAAAAGCCAACAACCCAAGGTAAGTCAAATTTTTCTCTTGATGAATGCGTGCAATGATGAAGACCTGATGAAAAATTAAAACCTTATTTCTCTGATACATTTTGATTGGAAACACTGCATAAATGACAGTTTGCGTGTAAATAAACAATGATAATTAATTATTAGCAGACTAATGGATTAAAGATTTCAAAGAAATTAAAGGACGATAGAAGGTCAAAAACTTCTCGATTTACTTATTACTCCTTTTTCCTAGCCTGAAGAGACTGAACCAACTAAAAACCATCATGACCGGCAGTTTGAGCCTCCTCCTTGTTAGCATTAACGTTGAATGATTTTAACGATCGTTACAATTATTTATTTTTATTTTCTCAGTATCCACTTCAGAAACGGAATCGCCAATATCCACTTCAGAAACGGAATTGCCAACATCCACTTCAGAAACGGAATCGCCAACAAGTAAGTAAACTTACTAAGTTGTCCATGATTAACTTCATAACCATTTTGCCATTTCTTGTGATCGGGCTCGTTTTTTTCGGATAAGTTCTAAATTAAGACTAAAGTAAAATCGCTTGTTTCCCTGCTAATAATATGTTAATGATATGTTCCCTTCAAGTAAGCTCCAGGGCTATAAATGTTACCATTGTGAATAGCATCCTAACTGAAAAATTGATTCGTCTGACGAGTAATTGGGAGTCTAAATGGGGTTAACTGTTAGCCGAAAAACGGCCAAAACCGTCACAAACCGTCAGCCGCGAAAAAGGTTGAACGTAAAGAAAATTACCTTTAATAACATTGGAAAGATATTCACCGTCAGCCAAAGTTGTATAGCCGTAAAAGCCACCATCCCATTGAGGTCCTCGCAACACAGTATGGATCATACTTCCAATTGACAGCTGCAAGTTCAAATCATAAACCATATCGAAATACTCAGCCGGGTGTTGTTTAAGACAGGAAAACGTTAAAAATTCATCACAAAAATGTGCATAGCAATAAGTACCTCTCATACTCCCATGAATCCTACGCTTTGTAAATATGTCCTATTCCAGGAAATCATTTCACCAATCGTGCAATAACTTTTTAATTGTAAATATTTAAACTTTCCCTGCTCACTATTTTTTCACCATGCCCTTTATTTCGTCGTATTTTATGGTCATACAGCAAAACGAATGTTTCCATGGTGGACTATTGTGTATTCAGTTATGATATTCAGCACAGAAGCACCTAGGTATTCTAGAAAACGTTGAAGGGATCTTTACTTTTGGGAAATAGAAAGGGTTGTTTAATAACAATAATAGTTAATTTGTCTACTTATCTGAGAAATGTTTTGTTTGTCATAGATACAACAAAACCACCTCCACCATCTTCAGGTGAGAAGTCTTTGAATTTTTTATCGATTTATCAAATTTTGCCCATTCCACTCATGATATGAAACCGTTATCATGATAATCAACTACATTAACTCCTCACGGGTCGGCTTCATCCATCTCTTTATACTAAAAAATAAACAAAAACCTGCATCTTCCGGGGAGTAGAGGAATTACCCTCTCTCTGCGAATTAAGCTTAGATCTCTTCTATGAGAAGAGTAAGAATCATCAGAAACGTGAATCTAAAGAAAGTGTTTCTAGTAAAGACCAAAATGATTGGGCAGGAAATGAATGTCTACATATTGTTGCCGCTCCCACAACATGACGAGGATCCTAAGAGTGTTTAGTATTTGTTTTAATTTATGTTCTTGCAAGAGAAACAATTCATTGATAAATCTCAGCAAAAATCCCTGTTTTGCTTTCATATTGGAGAGGAGTGACGATGTGTTAAATTTTCTAGGCGTCAACGTCGTTTGCGGAAAGAACGAGATGACAATTAGCATTCGAAAGACCCTCCTCAAAGGCATAGATGTGGAGCATATTCGTCTTTCCGATGTAAACTGCAGAGCCATAGAGAACCCAACCGGCGATCGCTTTATTCTACAAACGGAATTGACTAAATGTGGCACAAAAGTCAGACACGCTAAGAATTTTGTAATTTACAAGAACAAGGTGGAGGAAATTCCGATTGAAAATGGTCAGATAGTCACACGTGTCCGTGAAGTGGAAATACCTTTCAGCTGTTACTACTCAAACACGGGAGTCGTGTCCGCTGTTGGTCTGGAAGTGACGAGCAAGAAGATCATTTTCTCCAGGAAAGGATTTGGACAGTTCATCCTAGAAATGAATATATTCCCGAATAGCGATTTTGTTAATAATTACAGAAAGGAAGACTTCCCAGTTTCCGTTACATTAAGGGAGCGTCTGTTTGTGAAGGTCAGCGTAGACACAGACGACGAGAAACTTGAGATTATGGCAGAGACATGCTTTGCTACACCTGATCCTGATCCCAATAAACCTGCATTGAAATACGTGTTCATCGAAGATGGGTATGGACTTGTTTAGTGTTAAAGATTTATCCACAACTGACAGGCAGTAAACTTGGTGCCATGTATTTGTCTACACACGCAAAATTTCAACGATTTTCAACGACGAGTTAATACTTAATGATGTCTTTGGAAATTGATAGAGGACCAGAAATTATTTATCGCCGAAGCGATATAACTGCATTTATATGACAATGAACCCCATTTCGTCGCTACAAGTCATCACTTGTTGTTGTCTGAAAATTGCTAACTTTCTTGTCTTTTTTTTCCAGCTGTACAACAGACGAAACCGTGGAATACATTTCATCAGACGATCAGAGAAACAAAAAGTTTAGCCTGGAAGCGTTCAAATTCTTGGGCGAACATGAATTTGTGTACATGCACTGCAAGGTAAAGATATGCAACGCAAAGGATCCTAATTCACGATGTGCACAGGGCTGTCTGTCTGACAGGCAAAAGAGGTCGCTGTATACCGAGGAAAACAATGACGAGGAGTATCTATTGGCTCAAGGACCGTTCATGCGAAAGGATGAAATCAACGAGGAGACAGTTCTACAGGATGTTGAGGAAGTGCACGACATGAATATCAAAGGTAAAGTAGAACAGAATACTAAGACAAGGCGGTCTAGGTGCTTGTAAACTGTTTCTATCTATGCCTTTGATTGGCTGTTTAAAAATATACAAAAGCTACGTGGCAATAACACGGTGGTCTGAAACATTTGCGCATGTGCCAAAGTTGTAATGACTAGGTAGCGTGTTTTCAGTGTCAGAACCAAGCTGTCTCACACGAGTAACACACAACTACACAAGCCAAAGAGCTACGATGCTTTAAGAGCGTATAAACATTTTGGTAAAACTCAAAACAGAATGGTGAATCTTCAGGCTACCCGTACCTGAATAAGCTTCTTTTTCTCCACTTTTGTTTCCTTTTATAGATTTCCATGAACGTTTAAATCTTCTTTCGCTTTTTTTTGCGAGACAGAGCTTATGTTTTCCTTTAGAACTTTGCGCCAGAAATCGGTACGCAGAAGGTCAGAATTGATCTTCTCGCATATGCTTGACGTTTGACCATTGAGTTTGCGGTAATAATTTCAAATGAAACCTTTTTTGTTCAATATATGAATTCTCTAATTTATACCTGACTGTATGGCAACTATTTAACTATTGCAGCTGCTGAGAAGAGCAGTCCTTTTGTCATTGCATCCACCATGACGAGTGTACTATGTATGATGGGAATGTCATATATGCTGTGGTACAAGAAATCGCGGGCTCATCAGGGTTACACTCCCGTGCAAGTGAAAGCACATTAGATTCAACATCCTTTCGTTCACTGATTGTTTTTTATTATTTCTTTGATTTCAATTGCAAACGTCTATTGGAGAGAGATACGTTTGGATTTCTCTCTTTTTTGAGATTTTAGTCAAATGTAGAGCAATTTTACCCATACTTTTAACATGCGCTTCATCCTTAATGTGATATTTAAAGTTTGTGTTCAATTTTATTACTCAGGACTTCCCCGACATTCACTATACTGAATGAAACATCCTATACCCTGAAGGGCATATTGCCTTCAAATCTATTATCTACCAATTCTGATTAAATTTTCAACGTATCTAACTGGTCGTTTAGATTTTTTTAGTCGACTTACAATGACAAAACCTAAGTTGTTAACTTTAGCTAAGTTAGCGAACAGGATCGGTAATTTGAGAAACCCTTGGGATCTCCGACAGCTGGAGAGCTTTGAAATACCTTAGGAGGGAAAGTATTGACCCGAATAGGGGGATTCCATCTTTAAGGTAAGCCCCTGTCGATTCAACATTCTAGTATCCTAAACTCCCTGCTGTGCGGGGAGAAATGGAAAAAAAAGCTCATCCCCGATGGATTGTCGATGAAAAAGAATTCGCTCAGCGGAGTCAAAACAACGGAGAGGGGAACTGTCTGATTTTATAACATTAGTTTGATATCATATATTTAACGATCATACTGAAAAGCAATTCACCAAGGACGTCATCATAGAAACATACTTTCTATTATCATCTCTTATTAGATTCTTGTTCTCGTCCGGCGTTATAGCCACTGGTGTGCAAGCTCAGCATTCTGTAACTTTTTGGAAAGTAGAATTAAAGAATAAAGGGAATTTTTTACGCATTAAGATTAATTTTTTTGTTCCTAGAAGAATGAGATCGGGTGTTATTATCAATGGAT